TATCACGCATACTGAAAGGCCGTACGAAGACATACACTGGAAGGTAAGGTCGGAAACCTTGAAGCTCTCGTGGGAGCTCTTCTTGGCCGAGATGACAGGCGCGTAACTGATGAGCGGGTAGTGGATACGCGGGTATGGCACAAGATTGGTCTGGAACTCGTTCAGATCGACATTGAGCGCACCATCGAAGCGCAAGCTGGAGGTGATGGAGCTGACGACCTGGGCGATCAGGCGGTTGAGATGCTCGTAGTTGGGACGGGGAATGTCCAAGCTGCGTCTGCAGATGTCGTAAACAGCTTCGTTGTCAACAAGGAAGGTGCAGTCGGAGTTCTCGATGGTGCTGTGTGTCGACAGAACAGCGTTGTAGGGCTCAACAACAGAGGTAGACACGCGAGGAGCAGGGTATACGGCGAATTCGAGCTTGCACTTCTTGCCGTAGTCGGTCGAGAGGCGCTCGAGGAGGAGTGCACCGAAGCCGGAACCGGTACCACCACCGAAAGAGTGGAAGATGAGGAAACCCTGGAGGGACGAGCAGTTGTCTGTGTTTGTTAGTAGGCGCATTGAGCCGATGTCGGGGAATGTGCTTACCAGCAACGCGACGGATCTTCTCAATAACGCTGTCGACCATCTCCTTGCCGATGGTGTAGTGACCACGCGCATCTACTCCCGTCAGTATGTCTGCATCTGCATTCCCAATAGCTTCCAAGACGCACAGTTGTTGGCAGCATCCTCCTTGCCGCTGATCAACAGCTCAGGGTGGAACAGCTGGCGGTAGGCTCCAGTTCGGATCTCGTCAATTGGCGACGGGTCCAAGTCGACGAAGATGGAACGAGGCACGTATTTGCCGCTGCCGGTCTCGGTGAAGAAGGTCTCGTAGGAGCCACCCTCGCCAAGCTCCTTCGCATCGGGGTTGGGACGACCATCGGGCAGCAGGCCGTGCTCGAGGAGGTACCTGGAAATATCGTGTCAGTCTTGACTGTAGGCTTCGGGCGCATGCGGTTCGCGACAACGTACAGCTCCCAGGCGCTGTTGCCCAGCTGTGTGCCAGCTTGGCCGATGTGAAGGTGGCAGATCTGTAGCTTGGTGTTAGCATTGCGCGTGCTGGGGTCATTCAATTTCTTGGAGTGTTCCAATCTCCAAGCTCTTTCATCTCTTCTTGCTCTTTAGCCACGGTAGAGCTTCATCTCGTTCATGTCGGCGCATGAAGCCCCCGCATCTCTTCGCATACTGCGATTGAACACTCCGCCAGAAACAAGACAACTTGACATACCTCTCCTCGCATGGTTACGGTGTTGCTGTGTCAAACAGGCGACTGTCGAAGGAACCTCTAGTTGCCGGCGTCGACGCTGGAGGCAGAAGTGTTCTGGGTTCAAGCGGTGAGGAGCGCCGCGTTGGACTAGCTTGGTGGGGTCGCTGCAGGGGCCGCACGGTTTTGTTTACGCGACCGTCGCGACAAAGGCGCCTTGCCACTTACAACCAACAGAACCGTGGCGCCCATGCGGCACAGCGGGGAGACCGCCTTTTGCCAGGGATCCCTCTTCTTGCGGTGTGATGAGCCGATGAAACTGCGCTTTGAAGGACTTTGCAGCTGTCAATCTACGGTGTGAAGCTAACAACTGGTATATTAGTGAAGTATAAAGACGCCGATCCTAACGATTTGAGCGTAAGCCTCGTGCGCCAAGCTGGATGATAATGCGAACCATTTCCATTCCTAGTCTAGGGGGATATCTCATGTGCGGAAGGAAACCAAAAACGCCTCCCATATGCTTCTTTGTGTGTTCGCGCTTGTCTCGTACGCCGTAGGAGCCCTAGGATGAGTACGACAATGCTCCTTACATCTCAGCATTACTCTCCAGGCCCATCGGCCACAGCCTCCTCGCCCTTCTTGCTCCACTCACCAGCCGAAGCATCGATTTCACGCGTCGCACTCTCTCTAGCTCCACTCTTGCTGTAAAACTCGTGAACGTCCTCGCATCCCTTTGGCGTCCTGCACAGCTTGCGGGCATCTGCAGACGCCGTCTTCCAAATCACCTCTCTGACCTCTTTGCCGACCTTCTCAATAGCGTCCATAGCCCAAATGACATCAAGATGTTCGTACCCCTCGATGACCTTGGAGTGTACGACATCGACATGTGGCTCTCGACCGTGTTCGAAACGGCGTAGAAGACGACGACCATCTACTAGGTCGTCGGAGCCACAGACCCATAATGCAAAAGGAGGAGTTTGCGGACCGTACCACGCGTAGCGCTCAGCTTCTCTCCTGTCCTTCTGATGCTCATCGTCGGAGTCATGTGGCGGACTTCCGGTCTTAGTTTTCGTCTGCTCGATCTCCTCGTCTTCCTTATCTTCCATGATCTTCTCGTCTCGTGTGGCCAAGATGCATTTCTGCTTCGCGAAACATTCCCGCCCGAGCCACCATCTCATACTCTCTGCACTGACATAGACGGGGGAGAATTGAAACATGCGATTTCTCAGATCACGTTCCCAGCGGTCGTCCGTCCAGTTGAACAGAAAGGCGAAGACACGATAACCCATGGAGCCGTAGAATTTTCCGGGAAGGAGACCATGCATAACCATCATGAACGGAATGAAGGCGTGGATGCCGAAAACAGTCCGGAACATGTTTGGACTGATGACTTGCATGAACTTGAACTGAGCCTTCCCGATCAAAGGACCAGCATAGGCGGCAGGTGCTAGTGCGCAGAACACAGATATCTTCTCGCCAATCTCAGGTCGCTGTTCCTTCGCTAATGCCACAAGAGTTTGTGTGGTCCCCTGGCTGTGCGCAATGAGACCCAGCTTTTCGAATCCGGTCTCCGAAAGTACGCGAGAGATAAGGGCAGGCAAGTCCATGACACCCATCTGACGAATGTTCCAAGCCCACATGCGCGGGTCTCCGTATTGCAAAGTGGTATGGCGAGGTTTGAAACCGCATCTGTTGTTGCCAAGCCAGACATCGTAGCCGGACTTTGCGAGGAAGAAAGCGAGACTGTCGTCATCGTTCGTGCAGTAAGCGCCTGCGGACTGCAAAAGGCCGTGGATCATAAGGACTGGGTACTTCTTTTCACCTTCTTCATATTGCGACCCAGCAACACCCGTGCGATCTTCAGGGAAAAGCTCTGGTGAATGCGGGGAACGCTGGCCGTCATTCGTGCGCTTGTAGTCACGAGGATTGTAAAGATGCCAGAGTTCGATGATGAAACCGTCTTCTGTCTGGACGTTAAAGATCTCGCAGTCCAGTCCCACTCTTCGTGCATAGTGGCGCACATCGCAGACCAGAGGATCGGGACCGCCTTCTAACGGCTCAAACTCATCTGTTGTTCCGCCATCTTCTCCATTCTCCAGTTTTTGAGCTGACGGCATTGTGTCTCGCTTCTTCCACGCTCTTTCTGCCTCTCTTCTTGCTTGCTTTCGCTTCGTTTCCTCTTCGTAGAACGGTCTTCGCTTCTCAGCATCGCGGAAAGTGAGCAGTAGGAACAGGTGTTTGCACATGCCAGGAAGGGACGTAAAGCCTGCACCTAAGACTATGACGAGAAGGAACAAGAATGACAAGATGCCGGACGAGACTCGGAAGAACCAGCACTGACATTTCCTCAGAAGTGTTGGCGGTCCGTACATAGGCAGAGGCGGGAATAGAGGGTTTGTCTTCGAAGGCGCTTTCGAATCACCCAATGGGACATCTGACTTCCCCTCGCCATTCATGTCTGCTTCTTTCGGAGGTATACCATGTATCGTTCCATCTTTTGCTTCGCGCAGCCGCGGTGAGAAGGATTCTTTCTTTGTAGGATCACGGTCGTCAATAATGTCTCGCAATTCGTTGAGCTTCGTCGCTTCTTCCAGAGGAACAGCAGGTAGTCGATGGCCGTCGGCAGTTTCGATGACAGGATCTTGCGGAGTTATGAACCGTGCTTCAACCGCCTGTGTGGAACCTGTGCCCTCATTCTCTTGCTCTGGTGTGTATTGTCCGAGACGCTTAGCCTGGTGTGCAAAGTCGACTGCAGCCTGTGTCTTGGACTTTCTCTTTTCTTCATGATGGTTGAACTGCTCTTCAACACGGTGTTTGGCGGCTGTAATAGAGGCCTTCGGCATATTGATCTGGGGAAAGCCCTATGGTTCGGCGACGGTGGTGTGGAGCGTCCAGGGTCGCGTGGAGCATAGGTACGGATGCCGGCAAATTAGTCCCTTCTTCAGTGTTGTAATCCCGAGTGGGCGGATCGCAGTCCTCTGTACGCGCAAAAGGGCTGTGAGACGCTGGAGCGCGGTTGAGAGACATGTTGCGGCTTTTTTGTGCATCGCAGTTTTGACGCGGTGGCTGCGCGCGCCTTGTTTGGCAAGAGCATTACGTCAGGAATGGATGAGGAAGCGGCAAATCAGCGATCATGCTGCAGAAGGATGCATCTCAACGACCACATTCAGAAACCCCATAGCGGGTGATGCAAGCAGGGTCTGTGGGTTCGTGGCAATGGTTTGCATGTCGCAGGCACTATTTATTAACATGTGAAGAGGCTGCGGACTTGACTCCGGAATCGCGAATCCCAACGTCAAGCAATGTTAACAGATAGCGAAACTGAACATCAGCTATGTCGGAAGGTATCAGAAGAGCGGTATCTAGATTTGATGTGGCAGGTATACTGCTTGTCGAAGATATGCACATGCTGTGGTCGACGTGTGACGTGTGATGTACGACAGGCCACTTGCGGCCCATTGAAGCCTTGTTGAATCTCAGTGTTAACGTTCGACTTGAACTACTGGACTACAGACTCGAACAACACAAGCCAACATGTAATTCTGAGTCGTGCATGCTCGTGGGATTCCTGCTCCCGATCAGTTGAGTGGACGCGGGGATTCGTGGCAGGTAACCATGTCCGAGCGGGCTAGTTCTGCCGAGGCAATGCGGCTCTCTGGTGCTATCTGATGCCCGGGCTGATCGCACGCAACGAACAGAGCCGCGAATGCTCATACACCTGTCCATTGAGGCAGACATCCCTCGTTAATCCATCATGGACGCGCAGAATGGAGTCGCCAACCCACGGAAAAGAAGACGGAGAAGACGTCTTGACCGCCCTCCTATTTCGGCGCGACTACTGCTCGACGACCGCGTGAAGGGTGAGGTCGGAGTGCTGTCGGAGGATCTCTTCAATGATCTGTTCCCTGGAGCGAGAAGCAAGAGCGCTGGTATGTGGAAGGCATGTTTGGTAGTAGATGGGAGAGGTGGCTGACGAGAAGAATAGCCAATGGAGATACGCCAGACTCGGATCGCATCCAACACGTCGCAATCACCCCGTGGCTGCCGACCTCCATCGCCGCTTCCCAGAACAATCCCTGGACCATCCTGCCAGTGCGACCAGCCGACAAGACGGAAACCGGCACAGCGCGCCCGCACTCGTCACTCCAGATCCCCACGTCGTCTCTCGCACTGCAGTCTTTCTCCCAACTCCTCCAAAATGTCGCCCCGAACAAGACACAGAGACGGGATACGCCCATCGAGGTGCGCATATACGATGTTGTGCCGGTCGGGCTTGATACAGTCTACGTCAATCTGGACACGGAAGCGCTGCGGAAGCTAGATGAGGTGCATGCGAAGTTCGGCGGAGGCTTCATTGCTCAGATGAATGGCTCGTCACGAGCTCCGAAAAGCCGCTATGTGGAAGCGAACGGAACAAAAGGCAAGGCGGTGGATCTCGCCGCGCAAGAGGAGGCCTGGCGACAGGCCGTACGCGAAGCCCTACAACTACCTACCGTCCTTCATACTGGCGACCTGCTTCCTCTGAAGCTTCCCGCCCATCCCATCACCCATGTCCCACCTCCACCAGCCAAGATCAGCGCCTCCGAGCCCGTGTCGCAAGGTCTCTTGCTACCGAGCACGAGGATCGTGATACTGCAATCGCATCGAAGCAGCTCTAAGCAGCCCGTTATCATGCCTCCGGTGAAACAGCCTCCTACGACCAACGGATTTGGCGACGATGATGAGGCTGACGACACCTCGAACGACACCTTCTACTCGGCCGCAGAGGACAACTCGCGCAATGTCTCCCCACCCGACGGGGAATCTACAGACAACTTCGATTCAGAGCTCTCGGAGAGCGATGCGGGAGACCTGTCCGACGAGTCCGACGACATCATATCGCTGAACGCGCCTATGCTCCCGCCTCAGTCATCCGGTGCACTTTCAATCTTTTCCTCCGCGACCCCACGACCCGGAAACTTCGGACGCCCTAATGGCATCGCAACGCCAGGGTCGGTATACTCCAATTTCACAGCTACGACAGCCCGTGGTGGTCCGGCGAATAAGAGCAAGGTCTTCAAAGCCCAGGGCCTTCTCCAGCGTGTCCCAGATGACCTTATCCACCCGAAGCCGGGAAGCGAGGATGACGAGGAAGCGCGCGTATTTGTCGACATCAACACATTGGTCAAAGTCGGTTGCTTCTCGGGCGACTGGGTTAAGCTTGGGGGCACCGAAGCCCCTTCATCACATCCGCTCTGGGGCTTAGGTGCATTTGGCGGAGTAGACGAGGAAGATAATACGAATTGGCGCCCCGTCAGGGTCTTTGGCCTGCCAGAAAACATGTCCAAGAAGGTTGCGAGATATCCGGTACAAAAGATGGCAGATACCGATCGAAGGAGTAGTTTCTCGGGCTTCTCACAACCAATCTCGTCGTTGCATGCCTATCTCTCGCCAATTCTTCTCGCAAACCTAGGCAGTCCTTCTCACCTCCGCATCACTCCGCTAGCCCCCAGTCAGTCTTCTCATCTTCCTAGGAGCGCCATTCAGAAGCCACGTCTGAGCAGCTCTTCTTTGCCTCCGTCTGCCAAAGAGGTCACCCTTATGAAAGTGTCAACGCCTCTGTCGTCAGATCGTCTACTTCAACCCAGTCTCTTCGCGGCATTGAAAGACCACTTTGAGCAAAAGAGGAGAATTGTAAAGAGTGGTGATCTGATAGGCGTATCAATCGACGAATCGCTTGGTCGGGCGGTATTCCAAACCGCGACAGAAGAAGACGCTGGCAACGAGGAGCTGCTGGCCAGAGCCAAACCAACAGCTAGCGATGAAAGCACCAGCGTCAGCAGCCGCAATCCAAAGGTCGTATCCTGGTTCAAGATTGGCAATGTATCGAGTTCTACCCATGCATCTCACGACGGCGAAGAAGCCGACATATGGGGTGGTGCTGTCACAGTAGATGCTGCCAGCACCAAAATGGAGATGAACGGCAGCGAGCAGGGCAAGACTCCAGCTCCCATCAACAATGCCTGGCAATACTATCTTGGTGCCAAACGAGCCCCTGTTTCGAGCTCGCAGAAGACGATGTCACTAGACGAGCTGCCCAAGCCCTACATTTCATCACTTCGCAGACGGTTGCGAGAACTCATGTCTGTGGCTACCAGTCCGCGAGCCATCCACCTGGGCCTGCCACCTATCGCAGTCTTGATCACCTCGACTCAACGTGGCATCGGAAAGTCTACCCTCGCTACGAAAGCTTGCGAAGATCTCGGCCTGCACACTTTTGCGATTGATGCCTTTGATATCATCACCGAAGGTGGTGCTGGAGGTGGCGATGTCAAAACTGAAGGTTTCTTGAAAGCTAGGGCAGAACGAGGATTGACATGTGGTGCTGAGTTCACAGCATTGCTTGTCAAGCACGTCGACGCACTCAACGCCGATCGCATGAACACCGCGCTGAAAGAGATATTGGCCGACTCTCGCGTGCTAATTGCAACTACAACCGAGATCGACAAGGTACCGGAAGGCATCCGAGGACTCTTCACCCACGAGATTGAGATGACAGCACCCGATGAAGGCGAACGAGAAGGCATTCTAAGAAGTATCGTTGATGATGCCGGTATTAGACTATCCCCTGAGGTAGACCTTGGAAATGTCGCTGTCAAGACTGCCGCTCTTGTAGCTGGCGACCTCGTAGATGTTGTCGATCGAGCTTTAGTCGCAAAGCAGCAACGTCTCGAAGCACTCGCCGCATCCTCTACAAAATCGCTCTCATCGTCCGAGACAATCACCACACGCGACATTGAACTAGCAGGAGGGCACTTCAGCAACAGTCTCACGAAAGCTGATCTGGATACCGCAGTAGATGCAGCGCGCAAGAACTTCGCAGATGCAATTGGAGCACCCAAGATCCCCAACGTCGGATGGTCAGATGTCGGTGGTCTCACGCACGTGAAAGACGCAGTCATGGAGACTATCCAACTTCCATTGTCACGTCCCGAGCTATTCGCCAAGGGCATGAAGAAGCGCAGTGGTATCTTGTTCTACGGTCCACCCGGAACAGGAAAGACGCTGCTTGCAAAGGCCATCGCTACAGAGTTCTCCCTCAATTTCTTCAGTGTCAAGGGACCTGAGCTACTCAACATGTACATTGGTGAATCCGAAGCCAATGTACGTCGTGTCTTCCAACGCGCCCGCGATGCCCGTCCTTGTGTTGTTTTCTTCGACGAATTGGACTCTGTTGCACCCAAGCGTGGTAACCAAGGTGACAGCGGTGGCGTTATGGACCGTATTGTCAGTCAACTGCTTGCCGAGCTGGACGGTATGAGTGATGGAGGAGAAGGTGTTTTCGTCATTGGAGCAACTAACAGACCCGATCTACTCGACCAAGCCTTACTGCGTCCCGGTCGCTTCGATAAGATGCTGTACCTGGGTGTTTCCGATACCCACGAGAAGCAGCAGACCATCTTGGAAGCTCTGACAAGAAAGTACGTCACATTCCCCTTTCCCGTTCCTTCTTCGAATCGCCCAGATGCTAATACGTTTCACCAGATTCACACTCCACCCCTCCCTCTCCCTCCAACGCGTATCCCAAGGCCTCCCCTTCACCTACACAGGAGCAGACATGTACGCCCTCTGCTCCGACGCCATGCTTAAAGCCATCACCCGCTCTGCCAAGATCGTCGACGAAAAAGTCGCTGCTCACAACGCCACCCATTCCCCTCCCATCACCATTGCGTATTTCTTCGACCATCTCGCCACGGAAGAAGATACCGCTGTCATGGTCACAGAAGAAGACTTCATGGAAGCCCACAAGGAACTCGTCCCTAGTGTTAGTGCCGATGAACTCCGGCATTACGATAGGGTCAGGAAACAGTTTGAAGGCGCGGGCAAGAAGGAGGACAAGAAGGAGAATGGGGCTGCGCCGGCTGTTCAGCCGGTGACTAGCGCGAAGGGGAAGGGTAAGGCGAAGGCGCCGATCGATGAGGTTGAGGATATGGTTGTCAGGACGGAGAATTTGGAGGTTAATGGGTTTGGCAATGGGGATGCGAATGGGTCGGTTGGAGGTAGAGGGAGTGGGAGTGGGAGTGGGAAGGGGAAGGCGCCGGCGAATCATACGCCGGGGAAGAGTAGTGTTGATATCGCTGAAGGGGGCTTTGGCGATGCGACCATGGACGATGATTTGTACTCTTAGTGGCTTGTCTTGCTAATTGTAAATGATTACCTTGGCATGGCATGGCGTTTGCGTTTGTGCACGGTTTTGTCAATGGATGCTTGTGCGGAGTGCTCTGTACATATCACTGGTTGCGAAGCTAATCTTCCTTTCGTCAAACAGATAGACCATCAGTTTGAATGATTGTACTGTATAACGGGGCTGGTACGTAGCGGTTTAGAGGAAAGCAGTAGAAGAGGGCGGGGTTGAAAAGCATGTTCTATATTGTGAGGCGACGTCTCTATGGTACAGTTCGAGTTGCAAAGCTCTTCAGCATACAAAGCCCGTAGACCTGCAATACCGCCAATGCAACATAGTACATCTATGCTGCTTCGCACTCGCCAAGCAAGCCAGGTAAGCTACCGGAATCTCCATCCATCGAGTTCGAGCGCGTCTTCCCTGTGATGAACCTCGTCATCCAAGTCCCGCACGGACGTTCTGGCCTCTGGCACCCTTTCCCGCAGTAGCTCCACGACCTTCTCCCACGCTTCCTCACACTCACTCTTGAACATCCAATGCCTCCTAGCGTGGTAATTGAAAATGACTTCCTCTAGCCCCCTGAGGCGCTGTAGACATGCGCAAACCGTCTCTTTAGGCACATCAACGACGGTCCACGTACCGATGTCTAGTCTCTTGATAGCGTGTCTGTGAGCCAGAGGCATAGTGGTTATGAACATATCTAGGCTGTGGTCGAAAGCGATGTTGAAGGTGTTCAGGCTGTAGGGAAGAAGGGCTGCTTCAGCGTTGATCTGCGTGCAAACGGCTAGGAGGGGGAAAGCGGGTATGTCGCGTTGATAGAGGCAGAGCCCGTGATTGAACGTGGATACAATGAGGGTGCAGTTGCCGAGCGCGTAGTGATAGATGAGGTTTCTGAGCTCTGCTGGTAGACGTAGGAGAGGAGAGTTCAGTTGGTTTGCCGCTGTAGCTTCGGCATTCGCGTGTTGCGCCATCTGCTTAGCTGTCGGTATGGTTTTGTTGTCGCTATGTGGGTTGAACGGCGGCGGTGGTGGTAGTGTGGTGTAGTCGTAGAATTGAGAAAGTGAGAGAAAGCTTGGGGGTGCACGTGCTTGCTAAAATCATTGGGTAAGTGAAGGAGAAAAAGTGTTTTCAAATCTAGTTAGTCATACATGATGAGCGTAGCGCTTGACTTAGCAAAGGTGGAATAGAGCCTAGGAAGAGAACCTTTGAAGTCTTTAATTTTGTCTTATCTTATAGAATTATGAGCTTGTGGCTGATCATCGATCTTAGTAAGCTTTGCTGGGATAAACACCTGCACACCATCTCATTTTAAGGCGCCCTTACCCCCTTTCCTTTCTCAGTGCTCATAAGACTGCCCGTTGCGTGTCTTTAAAAGACAATTGCTTCTTGCTCTTCGGCCTCCTCTTGACGCTCAGTCCGGAGTATCTCAGTAAAGCTCTTCTCACTGCTCAATCCGGAGTGTCTCATCAATGCTATCCTCACTGCCCAATCCGGTTCCCTAGGTATAAACTTATATGTCGAAATTTTAACACCCGGTACATCCTTTCGTAGACCCTCTGCCATGATCCGCAGCCCGTCCTGATATCGAGGAGTCCTTAAATGATTGTCTGAACAGCTGTGTTTCAACCTAATTTGCTCTAAGCCCTTGAACTTTGCGAGTGAGGATGCAACGCGGGGATAATGAGTGTCGATGAAGCAGAGTGGGAATTCCAGCGTTTTGATAGCTTCGATGGACGATTTAGTCATGCTAGTAACGAGGTCGTTGATCATGGTCGTCGATACAAGGTCGAACACACTGAGACTGTAAAGCAGCATCCCAGCCTCGGCGTTGATCTGGGTGCATACTTTCAATAGCCCGAATGCCAGTGCAAATTTGTCGCGATATAGTACCAGTACTTTGTCGCCGCGTAAACTCAACCTGATCCTCTGACCGCCCAGCGCGTACATCCAAATCTGATTTCGAAGTTCGCCCGGTAGGCGGAGAAGAGGAGAGTTCTGTTGATTTGCGGATGTTATCTGCGCTGTTGTTTGCGCTGTCGATATGGATTTGGACATTTGTAGTTGAGTGAGTTGAGTTGACGGGTGCTGCAATTACTGTACTCTCGTGAATGGAAGAAGTTACAAATATCGTGAGAGCGCAACAGGGTTTTGAAGTGCAGGCGATGCCAAGACATTCGAAGAAGTGAAAGAGAGCGTTTGCAAAGCCGTGCACTACGATAGCTTATCACATTAGTAGTGCTGTACCTTGATATGTATGTATATAGGTAGTGAAGAAGATAGATATTTTGACAAGACCTCGGGAAGGAGGGGCAGTTAACGATCCTTCTAATTCTGCATGAAAGTTGACTTTGGCTGATCCTCATCATCAAGTAACTTTACTAGAACACGATTCCTGAAATCTGCACCTTCGATTGTTTTCCTCGATCTCGATGCTCGAAAGCTATCCTGTCATTTGTGACAGCATCCCGAGACCCACTATTTGTCCGACCATATATGTCAACTGCCAACCGTCTCAGTAATGTCCCGTACATTTGTTTACCATGTCACCGTCCCACGTCGTAATTTTGACATCAGGGATCGTTTCCCGCAGTAGTTTCGCAAAACAACCCACACGAGATAAGTCGGAGTTCCTCGACAAAAAGGAATTTGTATTGTAGCGTATCCTGATCTCCTTCAGACTTTTGCATTGAATCAGATGAGGTGACGTGTGATCTGGATTTCTGCAGACGTCTTTGGTGTGAATGACCAGTATCTCAAGGGCTCCAAGCTGTGATGTACTCATACTGCTCAGGAAATCATTGGTGCTGCTGGCGTCTGTGGAGAAGTGGAAGATGTTGAGGCGGTATGGGAGAAGGGCGGCCTCAGCGTGGATTTGTGAGCACACTCTTAGTAGCGCGAAGCGTGGGATGGGCTCTTCTGAGCAGAGGCGTGGCTGTGTTGTTCCCAATAAGACTCTATGTCCGCCCAACGCGTATTTGTAGATCTGGTTTCGTAGCTCGGCGGGAAGACGGAGAAGGCGGGAGTTGCGTTGGTTCGCTGATATTTCCTGCGCCATTATTGAGTTGTTGAGACAGGCCTGGGTATTTGGCGCTGTAAGATATATGGGTAGAGCGGTATCGTGGTGTAGCCTTGTAGACAGGAAAGTGAGAGAGTGTGTGGAGGTGCGGACAATGCCTAAAATAATCGTGAGAAGCGATAGAGTGTTTGCGCGGCCGTGCGCTAGGCCGCACACCCAACCTAGGTATCTGCTCGTCTTGTTCATGCTTCCTAAGGTCGCCTTCACAAGTATTTCCAATGCCGTTGGCAATAAAGAATGATTGCACGTGCTGACTTGGAGAAAAGGCTGGTAGTTGTAATGCTGAACACTTTCTGATCATCTGGAGAGATGGATAATATATGGCACATTGTTAATCTCTGAAACTTTTCCGACGTAAACATCCGCCAAACTCATCTGAGTTACTCTGCTTCGCCTGTAGTCTTTGCAGCCTATTCGTTTGACTTCGTAAAAGCAATCACCCTCCACCCTCCATACGATGGTCAAAACCCAATCCACCTTGTCTCAGTGATATTTGACACTGCTCAACCCAATGAAAGCATCCCATGTCATGACTCTAACACCAGGCTTATAGTTTCGCAGTAACGTACACAATGTCCGAAGGCAGGCATGGTTGTACTCCGTTGATTCGAGCTCTTTTCCAGCTAAGTTGATCTTGATTTCCTCTAGACCTCGGAAATAGGTAAGCTGTGACAATAAATCCGTGGGTCTGCAAAGGATTACAATGTTGTATGAAATCCTGATCACTCTGATGGCTTGGATTCCTCTTGTACTGGCGGACGCTGTGAAGGCAGGGATGGAGGTGTGTCCGAGGAAGTTGAAGGTGTTGAGACTATACGCTAGAGTTGCTGCCTCTGCGTTGACTTGAGAGCACGTCTTTAACAATGCAAAAGCAAGGGCGTCTTTCTGCTTATAAAGACGTGACTTGCGATTGCGTGTCACCGGCTCTGTATATATTCCTATCCCGAGAACATGACCGCCCAATGCGTAGTTGTAGATTTGATTCCGAAGCTCGGCCGGTAGACGGAGGAGAGGAGAGTTGCGCTGATTTGCCGCCGTGCTATCTCAATATTAGTTCATGTACTTCCTGCGCATACTGACTCTCGTAGACTGCATACATGTGAGCGCGCGCAGCGTTGGCTGCTGTCCTTCGCCCCATCTTGGCAGGTGTACTGGGAAGTTTTGTTGCTGACGTGCGGGTGGAGCTGTGTTGTGTTGTGATCTAAGTAGTTGGTAAGTGAGAGACAGCCCTGAAGAGCTTGGACCCGTAGGAGTGGAGTTGAGGCCCAAAACAGCAAGAGCAATGAGGAAGTTTGTCTGCGCAACCCGGCGCTGGGACGCTAGTACAAGTTCGATACGAACTCAAGGCAAGCTGTGCATGCCGCATGCATACCCTGATGTCATTTAAGTTATTGCACCGTTAAGAGTGGTTACATACGTGTCGCATCTTACTTCGTATATGCAACTGAGTCTGAACAGGCAAATACCTTCTTGAGGTAGTGTATACCTCCAGCTCGATAACATTGTTGTACAACCGCGAACATTTCTGGTGTGCTCAACCCAACTTATCCTTCGATTATGACAGTAACACCCGGTTTCATGCGCTTCATCGTCTCCGCCAGCATCCCAATATCCTGTTGCTCGCCGATAGCACTCAGCAGTGAAGGAACCCTCGCTTTCTCGATAACCACCGTCTGCAAGCCTTCCAGTTTCTCCAACCGTATTGACCCTCCATTGTTCCCAAAGTTCCAGAAGGAACGCTTCAGCAAACCACACCTACGAGGTTTGAGCTGAATGGTACGTATGAATTTAAGTTGGGCGGGGGAGCATCGTAAGAGAAAGTAGCGCATGGCGAGCTCGTGATCGAATGCAAAGACGCAGTAAGGGTACTGTAGCATGGCAGCTTCTTCGGAGATCTGCTTGCAGACGAGTAGTAGACCAATGGTAC